CCCCCGTCCCCCGCCCCCCCCCCCCCTTGTGAATGAGTAAGGGGTACTTGTACTGCTACCCATTCACTAAAGGGTTAAAATTCTATGTAAATAAACCACTTTTAGAGAAAGACCTCTCAGTTAAAATAAAAATGGCTCCATCGATGTGATCCGCCGTCAATCACGCCGCCACTCCCCCGGGTCTGCGAGCTCCGAGGCGTCATCGTACTTATCATAGACAACGAAACGGCGATTCGCACAGAACTACCGCTAACGGAATTGGGATTCGTTATTATCTGTCATTGGGAATTTGGGATACATCCGAATCTCCGAAATTTCCATTCGGAACGATACGAGTCGCGCGTGTCTACCGTCATCTATAAATCCCCAAAGGGTTGTCACCGACCTCCTGGAAGCATCTCATTAAAGAGGAACTCCAGACAAAGCCGAACATGAATGAGAATGTAAAGGGGAAATCCGCCGCTTCCGGATGTTCAGAGTTCAAACAGATGCAGGAGATCCTCCGCATTGTTCCTGCATCAGATTGTGCGTCCCTTCCCCACTGACACCAACAACGGGGTTCATGTTTGGCCCCTGAGACCAACATCAGAGTTTATTTTTGGCCCCTGAGACCAACATCAGAGTTTATTTTTGGCCCCTGAGACCAACATCAGAGTTTATTTTTGGCCCCCTGAGACCAACATCAGAATTTATACTGACACCAACAACGGGGTTCATGTTTGGCCCCTGAGACCAACATCAGAGTTTATTTTTGGCCCCTGAGACCAACATCAGAGTTTATTTTTGGCCCCTGAGACCAACATCAGAGTTTATTTTTGGCCCCCTGAGACCAACATCAGAGTTTATTTTTGGCCCCTGAGACCAACAACGGGGTTTATTTTTGGCCCCTGAGACCAACAACTGGGTTTATTTTTGGCCCCTGAGACCAACAACGGGGTTTATTTTTGGCCCCTGAGACCAACAGAGGGATTTAATTTTGGCCCCTGGCACGATCAAGAAGGTTTATTTTTGGCCCCTGGGACCAATATCAGAGTTTATTTTTGGCCCCTGAGACCAACATCAGAGTTTATTTTTGGCCCCCACTGACCAGCCATGTAGGGGCCACTTCATCACACCGTTGATGGTCTCAGCGGTGGCGGGTTATGTCCGGCCGGCCCCGGGACTACATAACAAGTGTCATCTCTCCGTCTATACTCCGCGTGCGGGAACGCTTCATACTTCTACTATGTCCTCAGGTTTATGTTTGTCTGTGGTACTCTTTGGCCACACCCACTTGTCGCCACACCCCCAAGGAGGAGTCCTGTCCCGGAGGCCCGCAGACACAGGAAGGGGCGGGGTTACAATGGGATGAAGCATCCCGGCTCTGCCAGACTT